TATATTTTGAGATGTCATTTATTCCTAATGGCAAAGCTGAAACTTCAGCATCAGTCTTCAGCGTCACGTCATTCACATCAGAAATCATTCTAATATGCTGATTTGATGCTGAAAAGAGCTTCTTAAAATATTTGTGGAAACCGCGCTATTCAAAAGTTTGGGTTATAAGTACGATTTTTAAAATAAAGTAATAATTACTTTTATTCAACAAGGACTTTCGCTCAAAAGTGGCAGTAAAGACATTCATAATGTTACGGAAGATTTCTATTTAAAATAAATGCGGTTCTTTATTATCTATTCATCAACAAATCTTGAAAAAAAGTATCACGGTTTACACGAAAATATCACTAATAATAATTAAGCACCACTAAAAATAATCAGCATAATGATTTCTGAAGGATCATGTGACACTGAAGACTGGAGTAATGATGCTGAAAATTCAGCTTTGCCATCACAGGAATAAGTTACATTTAAAAATATTAAAATAAGATGTATTTGTAATATTTCACAATATTACTATTTTACTGTATTTTTGATCCAATTAATGCATATTTGGTGAGCATAATGGACATCTTTAAAAAAGAAAAAGTATTCCAAACTTTTGACCGGTATTAAGTGTATTAAGACCAATATCTCAGTGTAAAGGGTGCATATCAGTGCACTGGAGTAAGGTATATGTGTGTGTGTGTGTCATATCTGTGTCAGCGACTCAGCGCTGTATGCAGTGTGGGGGTGTTGCAGACAGGGGGGTGTGCCTGGCTATTGGGATTGTTGACAATTGACCTTTAGTGCAGTCAGTGTGCTTTCAGCTGCATACAGAGAAACGGCATGACAGCACACTGTCTCTGCTCTGGATGCCAAAGCCTCTGTGAGCGGGTGAGTAAATGTGTGCGTGCGTGCGTGTGTGTGTGTGTGGTTCAGGTATTCCCTACATTATGGGCCAAAATGTCCCCACAAAGATGGCAATATCCAAAATCCTTGTCCTATGGGGCATTTTTTTGGTCCCCGTGAGGAAAACAGCTTATAAATCATACTAATGTAAGAAAATTTGAAAATTAAAAAAGCAGAAGGTTTTCTGTATTGGGAAGGGTTAGGGTTAGGGTTAGGGTTAGATGATGGAATATACAGTATAAACATCATTATGTCTATGGAAAGTGCCCATAAAACATGAAAACCCAATGTGTGTGTGTGTGTGTGTGTGTGTGTGTGTGTGTGTGTGTGTCCTGGTAAATCCTATTGTGGGGGCAAACTTTTACTTTAAAAAAATATATATTACATAAAGGATCATACGTTCTAAAAAGAAAACTGTCTGAATTTTCAGAAGCTCTCAATCTCAAATCTCATTTGTGTTCATGCATATTCAAGCAAGCATAAAGTCTTGCATTGCAACACTATTTTAAATATTAATCGGATTTGTTTTTAATATTAATTACAATTTTAAGCTCAAAATTAATTTGAATAGCAACTGCAGAGAGTGACATTTTCAGTGAATAAAGATTTTAATGTATTTATTATAAATATAAATAATGTAAAATTTCTCTCTGTTCTATAGCTCTGATCAATATGAAAAAGTGCAATCCTACAAAAATATTGCTTTTTGTGTTAGATAGATATGAGGGTGAATGAATGATTTTAATTTGATGAATTTAATTTACTGATACACATACTGTTCAAAGGTTTGGAGTCAGTAAGATTTTTGAATTTTTTTGAAAGAAAATTTAATACTTAGCATAGCTGAATTTAATAAAAAAAATACACTAAAAACTGTAATATTGTGAAATATTATTATTATTTTTCAATATATTTTATGATGTAATTTATTCCTGTGATGGCAAAGCTGAATTTTCAGTATCATTACTCCAGTCTTCAGTGTCACATGATCCTTCAGAAATCATTCTAATATGCTGATTTACTGCTCAGGAAACATTTCTTATTATTATCAATGCTGAAAACAGTCGTACTGCTTATTATTTTGAAATGGAAATACATTTTTTTGATGAATAGAAAGTTCAAAAGAACAGCATATATTTGAAATATAAATCTTTTGTAACCATTATAAATGTCTTTTGACCAATTTAATGTATCCTTGCTGAATTAAAGTATTCATTTCTTTCTTTCCTACAAAAACCAAAACAAACAAACAAACAAAAATAATAACTGACCCCAAACCTTTGAATGTTAGTCTTACTTAAATACTTATTAGCCTACAATGTCAAAATAAATGTACCATTTCTAATAGGGTCAATCAACGATATCTTAAATATTTACACACCTAATAACATGAATATAATTTGGATATTTTAAACATTTTTAATCGACCCTATTAGAAATGGCACACTTAATTTTTCAACATAATATTTTTTTCTCTCAACATTCTTTAGTGGAAATACTCATTATTTCACACCTAAACAAAAAACTGTATCCACATTGTGATGGAATAATATTTTCTCTCTCTCCATCCATTGTCACAGTGTACGTGGGTCGGATGACTGTCTGACTCATCGGCCTCAAATCAATATCCATTCACACCGCAACAAAAACAAAGCAGAGATCTTGCATTGATAGCAGAGCAACACAAAGATGTCTCTAGCAAAATCTTGGAAGGAGTTGCAAATTCCTTCACATCCCACAATGCTTTGTTTCATTGTTGTGCTGTGCATCACCTCGTTGGCATGCCGACAAAGGGAATCCTCCAGTCCCTGCCAGTAACAGTAACAGGGCACCTCCGCAGTCACATTACAGCGTCAATAAAACCAATAGCTTCTGGCTTTTAGAAATGTCCATGATTCTATAATGGCTGAAGAACTTTAAATGTTGTCTGAAATCTATACATGATTCAGTGCATTAAAATTAATGTTCACACTTTATATTTGGTGTCTTTATTTACATAAATACCGTGCTACCGTGTAGCCTAGGCTACTTGTGTTCTAGTTGTATTGCAAAACACGGTTAAACTTTGGGTAAGTTTACATGACAACAATGTACTAAAAACGGAAACGTTTCCTTTCGCAATGACAAAGAAGCCTACACAAGCAAATTTCTCGGATCTATGCATTTATTCACGTAACAATTATCGGCACTAACAATACAAATTAAACCAAATGTAGCCTTTTGAAATTGATTTCGGGACATCGTAAAGTAAATTTTTCCGAAATTTAAGTTTTTTAGCTTTTAGTATGAATAGACTAAGGTTATGAATAAGCTGGTGTGTTCCAAAACAATGACAAAGTTCGCAATTAGGAGATATTCAAATCTTACAGTCTCACACTTCCGCTAAAATAGATCACGGATTTTTATGACATCACTTCGGACTTCAGCTTCTCCTCACATCTTCTGTCCAATCAAATACTCTCTAATCTAAAGCGTCCCGCCCCCTATGCTATAAATACCACCTGGCCAAAGCGACCGTTGACACGTCACGGAGCAATATGGGTTAGAGATGTGTGTTCGGTTGCTCAAACGCTCGAGTTTTATTCCGTTTTCCAACTGTACTTTGGTTAAGAATTAAATGGCTAGAATTTATTCACACCTCTACTATTGAATCCAACGTATCATCAGCGCTCGGATGCGCTTCCATGGTGTTGTCAAGTACAACTTGCAGTCTGTGAGGTAAACTAAACGCCATTGGCTATTTGAAAAGGGAGAGGGGCCATTCAATATGTCCCGCCTTACCTTTCTGTTTCAGTGTAAAATACGTCAACTCATCATACAAAGCTGCGCGTTCCGGGGGCACTTCAGGGGGCCTTTAATGCGCCCCTGCATATAATGGACATCAATTGGAAGCAAAATTGTTTGGCTAACAACATTCTTCAAAATATCTTCTTTTATGTTCCACTCAAAGAAAGTCAGTCATACAGGTTTGGAACAGCGTGAGGGTGTGTAAATGACATTTATGATTTCAATTTTTTTGGGGGGACTGTCCCTTTAAGGTACTTTAGCAGGACCTCTGCTTGATTTAATATGCATGCAGTGTAATTATCGTATTCACAGGGCTATTCTGACACCATCTGAAATGAGGATTAGACATAGCTGCAGACCTGGGATGCTACTTTAATTGCATTTTGCTAGGTGCTGATCACACTGGAATGGGCCGTACTCATCTCACTGTCAAAGAGTCTATACAGGGATTATTAGGCAGGCGTATGACGAGATGCCCTGCTCCTGAAAGGCCTTCCTGGCTCAGACACCTATTAATCAGCTATTTTACAGACATATAGTGGTGGCTTTAGACTCAATTAGTTGACATCTTCCATTAAAACGCATGACTGGGGGAAGGAAACAGTGTATGTGCATGCTTATGTGAGAAGGACACATCACATGCTTCAACTGCCACAAACATTATGTGAGAAATATGAAATCACTGAGCATAATGACAGTCACGCACGTGATAAAGGCACGTCCAAACAATGCAGAAGGCAACCAGATACATTTAATAACAGAATTGTGTTTTTCAGGCTTTGCAGATTGATTTACTGTACATTTTTTTTCATACGATATGAATTTCTTTCAGTCGGGATCAGGCTGAAATTACATCCTGTCGCGACAAACAATAAATTAGTTTAACTGCTCCAGCTCTTTTATGCAAAAGCTGACAAACTTGACAAACAACACTGATCCTAGAAGATGATGGACTTAACAAGTTCATTGCATGATGATAACAAACCAAAACAGATTATAAAACAGGAGCAGCTTCATTGTACAAAACATTTCTTTTAAATCATCAAGCTTAAAGCATCCAAGTTCTTTTAAAAGCAGTTTCTGAAGTCTGAACATAATCTAAATATAAAAATACATAATCATGTTAAACCACAAAAATACATAGTCAAGTAAAAGAGTGCACTCTATTAGTGTGTGTCGGACTGTGCATTTCGACATGCGAAGTTCATTAAGTGTCTTTTTAAGGATGGTCATATTGAGTGAATTATCCCTTTTAGAAAAGAAAGAAAGGCACATTAAGTACATTCCCTGTTATCCTCTACATCAAGTTTACAGTTATAATATGTTGGATAACCGATTAATGGATAAAGTAATGGATAACCAATTACTTTTACAGGCAAGGTTTTATAAGAAGCATTCTGAAGTGGAGCTTTAACCGTTCATGAATCTGAATAAGGGATAAAACGTTCAACATTCAAACGAGTGCTATTACATTTCATTATAATCTTTAAAAAACCCTCTTGTTGAACCAGAGTCAATGCAAAGTCTCAAAACACTGTACACACCCCAGTTAAGACTAATTAAAATAACTGATCTGTATACAGTAGCACAATTTGTAATACAATAACATTGTAATACGATAATGTAAGAAAGTAACACAATAACATTGCATACAATAATGTAAGAAAGTAACACAATAACATTGCATACATTCAACATAATGTCATTAATTAAAGTTTGAGACAAGATTTATGGAAAAGGAAATGATAGAAGTTGAATAATTTTTCCCACCAGAAATTTACAAATGACTTGAAATGAGTGAAAAAACAACAACAACAAAAAGTGTGCAGTGTAAAACAGCAAAATTCATATAGTGCATCATTTACCTCAGAAGACACCCGGAGCCCTTGAATCTCACTGTGTTCAGTAGCAAATAATCTGCATGAATAAAATGGCACAACAGAAAGATCACAGGATAAAGCTGCTCAGAGAAACATTAAAAAGACAATCATGCTTTCCAGTTCACACAACATGGCACTGCATGCATTAGATAAAAAATATATACTCTCAAATACACTTTGAAATATTTTTAAAGAATATATTCCGCTCTAATAATATCTTTTTCATTCGAATACATTTAAATAAGCATGCTAAAACAAAAGCTTTACAAGATTTTTTTTTTAAACGAGTGTAGTCGAAGGCAGCCAGACGGTTGGGTGAGTTAAAGACTTGAGAGGATGTGCTTGTGATCTGACCGGAGTGGGCACAGCGGTCAGAGCTTTTTGGTGTTTGTCCAACTTTGTGGTGGGAGCTGTTGTCTGGTGGATCTTTTGGTGTGTAGTTGGGATTCAAAAGCCGCCTCCACTGCGGTCGACCGAGACAGGTCCTCTCAGATCCAGCCCCTCCTCCACCGTCTTCATCAGGATAGCCAGACGACTGTCAGAGATTTGGCCTCTCTGGACCGCACTCATGAGCTGAACCAATCAGAGAGCAAAAAGAGAGGTATAATCAAACAGAGACATTTTTTGAAAAAAGATTTAGGCTTAAGAGGCACCATTACTGATTTTAAATACACCTCCACTGAAAAGTTTGGGATCTCTTTTGTATGATTTTGAAAGAGCCCTTTAACATTCACCACAACGATCCAATCATTTCCCAATGGACAAAATCAAGCCCCGCCCTACATTTTTTTCTTGTTTGAGAAGCCGTTTCACAAAAATAGGGAATAAAAGACTATTCCAACTTCCGTTTCATGCCGACTTATGCTACAAAATATTTTGCATCTATAAACTACAATTTAAAATATTCTGTTGTAATATATTTTAAAATGTAATTTATTCCTGGCAAAGCTGAATTTTCAGCATCACTACTCCAGTCTTCAGTGTCACATGATCCTTCAGAAATCATTCTAGTATGTTGATTAGCTGCTCAAGAAACCTCTCAATGCTGAAAACAGTTGTGCTCTATTAGAAAAATAGTAATATTCTTTAACTTTAACTATAGATCAATATCTACTGTTATACAAGCGATCACACAGTGTCACCTACGTCACTTGTCACAACATCCCTGTGTTGTGAAGTCATGACAAATCGGGTCCTCTCTTGAAATCGGGCCTCTATCAACTATCAGTTAATGATTATACTAAGTACATATGAACAAAATTCATTTTAAATATGTATAGCTTACTGTATAGTGCATAATTAAACAAATTGAACAATTTCTTTCACTTGATAAACTGTTACTTAATCAATAATAATAATAATAGCCTATTAAGTGAATAATTCAACATCATTACATTCTTTTTATAACAAATATTTGGACATTTAACACTTAATTTAACATCAATTTAATTCCATTAAATATGATTGTGAATACATGTAGGTTAAGTGCAAATGTGTGTATAAACTAAGCTATCAGGCTAATAATCAGTTATCTGTATGGTATGCTGGTACATAAGCTAACCAATACAGACATTAATTGTCATTACAACGTAGTTCAAACTGCATTTATCAAAACATGATTTTGTAGGAATTGTAATCAGGCGCTAAAGAGAGTACCTATTAAAAGTAATTTGAGCCAATGGGATTGCTTGGGGTCCTAACAGAGACCTGGGCTGCATTCAGCCCCAACAAAAAGTTGCAAAACGTTTTTTAAACGGAAACGGTGGTGCGTTGAACACCCTGTTCTGATGACGCAAGAGTTGCAACTATGGCAGCTGAGAAGGCCATTCTTTGTGTTCTTTTTAAAGTATTTTCGGAGCCTGATGAAATCGGTATAAATGCGCATTTAATACTGCAAAATACACTCGATGTTCCAGTCACTGCCCTTGCTGTCCAGAATAAAAGAGAACATCCCAATCGAGTGAAGGGATGTGTGGAAACTGTGGTTCCTAATTATTGTGATCCAACATTTGCCTCGCATTTCAGGATGAAAAGACAAACATTTCAGGTGAAGGATAATCCACTTCTTACCTCCGAGACTGTGTTATGATCTATATGACCATATTATTTTTATTGTAAATATTAGGCTTATCATTATTGCTGATCACTGTTGATATGCTATATTTTTACTATAAAACTCTTACGACAAACATGTCTTCTAATTGTTGCGTATACCGAGCTGCAGCGGACACATTTGTAAACCACTTTACTTGGACCCATTGTGCGAGCTGTCTCTTTAATACCGCGTGGTTTATATAAATGTTGCTGCTGTTTGGCTGACATTTTTGACACACCCACCAAACAAGAGAAAACGGTGGTCTCCAACCCCATTGCACACCGTTTCCAGGAAACATGTCGTTCAACCCGGAAACCGTAGCAAAACGTTGCGCACCGGTTTGAGCTTGAATGTGCCCCTGATTTTGAAGGGAGGACCTGATTTCTCGCCAACGTCCCCCGTGTGATCGCTCGTATAACAGTAGACCGGAAGCATATTAGTATTTTTCTTACACACACCTATCGTTTCGCTTCAGAAGACATTGATCCATCCACTGGGCCGGGTCATATTGAATACAGTCACTCTGTGTGGTTTTGTAAGCATCAAACGAGCAGCACCCATTCACTTACATTACATTTATATGGATGGACTCACCGAGATTGATTATTTTCCTAAAAATCTTTGTTTGTGTTTATCTGAAGAAAGAAAGTAATATACATCGGGGATGGCATGAGGGCGAGTAAGCGATGAGAGAATTTTCATTTTTAGGTCAACTATCCCTTTAAAGGTTACTGGTTTAAACCCCAGAAAGGGTGATTATTACTTTTGACACCTTTCTACCTGAACCATATATATTAAACTAGTTGATGTTTCATTATGGTAAAAAGTACAGAATGGTGCTGCTCATTATTAATTTACTGAAACTCTAGAGACACCAGATCAACTTCATACTCATTCTGATGAAGGTACGACTTTTCAGAGCTACTAATCACTGTGAACCCGTCGGCTTCTGACAAAACATGGATGTACTGACATGTAGATAACAAGCACTTTTATTTTTGAGGATTTCACACCTACAACTACTAATCCTGCCTGAAAACCAGGGCGACACTAAGACAACCTGCAGTCTATAAATAGCTATTATTACGGCTTCTAAGGGTTCATACCTGTAAGAACTCATCCAGTTCCACTTGTCCGTTTTTGTTGAGGTCCACCTCGTTAAGGATCTCGTGGAGGGCGTTCTCATCAATCTGAATGTTGAGTTTCTAAAAGAACACAAATCAGTGATAGAATCAGTATCTAAGAGACATCAGAGTCAGGCTTGACGGAAATGTTAAGGGCTGAATTAGAACCAGAGACAATGAGAGCTGAGAGAATGAAGGCTAATAAGAAATTTAAAATCGTATTCTTTGGAGATAAATACAAGCACGTGCTTCATTTTCTCCAGCAGCATTCCTGTGAAACAGATGCTCTCCGTTCTACCCACCACTCACAGTAAAAAAAAAAGAAGAAAAAAAAAAGCCAAGATTTTTGCACAAGCGGAAGATGCAATTACAGGTCATCTAGTAGTTTAAATGCATATGTGGCCCTGTGATAATCCAAAAGAAATACACTAGATTTTAGAATCACTAATATTTGTAATGTTTTTGAAAGAAGGCCCTTATGCTCACCAAGGCTCAAGTCAGATTATCTAACAGTAGTATTCAGGTAAGATATGCTACCTAGACATTGAATAAAGTGATCAAATGTAAAATAACACTAAAATAATCCTTGTATAAACCCTTATTAAAGCTAGTAAAGTTATTCAGTCAACTGAAGCGAGTGATTTTCTCTTTTTCTTTGTTGTTTGAAATAACTGTAAGGACTACTGTCACTTCAATCGTGTAAGAGGTATCATATCAAAAACTGTTCACAGAAAGGGTGAAAAATGGTCAAGAAAAATTTTAATTATCACTTTTTTAGTGCGAAAAACCTTGACTTACATTATGGACTTGAGGGAAACAATGTTATATAAAAAAAGCTAGATGTAGAAGATGGTTAAAAAAAAGTAATGCCTGCTTAAAGGGATACTCCACCAGTTCCCTTTCGTTGTCACTCCGAGTTCCGTCGGATGACGACGAATGGGGGTTTCGCTTAGAAGCCAATCAACTTCAAATACTTCAAAACGAGCCAATGGCAAAGAAATGCCATGGGTCTGCGGAATTTGCATAGCGTAACTCCGCCTCACCTCGTGAGTATATAAGGAGAACGCTGGCAGCAAACCGGCATGTTTTCGCTTTGGAGCCAAGTTAATCCTTCGTTCCACAAGCCATTCCTGAAATTGTCAGTTCTTCAAACGAGCAAGATTCTCTGGTGTTGGTGTGACGGCGATCTTCGGCGAGCGCGCACTTCCTGCTTATCTGTCTGTGGTTCGACAGCGAGTGTGTTTCTCCCCGAGCGCTTCAACACAATCAGGTTTCTTTTTCTCACAAAAGAGCTTGCACGTGGCACGTCTTTTTAAAGATGCCTCGCCCGTGCACTTCTGGTTGCGGTAGGCTGGTTGACGACTCTGATGGGCACGGGTGCTGCATAGTGTGTTTGGGCATTGATCACGCTAGAGCAGCACTCGTGGATGACTCATGTTCTCTCTGTGGGAACATGACCATCGCAGCATTACGGTCAAGACTCGGTGATCTCGCAAGAGTGAGGGTCCCCTCATCCACACCCCGATCTACTGACTCTAGAAATAGAGCTAGTACTTCGGCTGGTGGCCAGGGTGATCTGAGGGTGACGGTTTGGAACCAAGCGCCGACTATCAGTCCGTGCCCAGCCGCACCCTCTCCAATGCTGCAACCCGTGAGTGTTCAGGGGATTCCGGCGAGATCATCTTCGGGTGTCCCGCGGGTTTCCTTTGGCGCTCCAGAGGAAGATGCCATGTCTATTGCAGCATCACAAGGTGGGTCTGAGTCTGCTGGAAGTGAAGACTCATCACAGCTGCCGCCTTCGGGTGTGACTACAGTTGTGCCAGAGTCAGATCCAGAGATGACGGCCATGCTGTCTCGAGCCGCCGCGAGCATCGGGTTAGAGTGGAACCCTCCGCCCTGCCCCGAGCGCTCGCGGCTGGATGATTGGTATTTGGGTCAGGCTGCGGATCCCCGTCCCCGTCAGGCCCCGATACCTTTCTTCCCGGACGTGCATGATGAAATCTCGAAGTCCTGGAAGACTCCCATGTCTTCCCGCGACCGCTCGATGATTTCATCCGCCTTTCCTCCCCTCGATGAGGCCGCTGCCCGTGGGTACACTGGGCTTCCCCCGGTCGAACGCTCTGTTGCGATGCAACTGTGTCCTCAGAGCGCTTCGTCTCGTGGTGAGCCAAAGCACCCATCCAAAGCCTGTAGGTACTCGTCTACGTTAGTGGCGAAGTCCTACAGAGCTGCGGGACAGGCAGCCACCTCTTTGCATGCCATGGCCATTCTGCAGGTCTACCAGGCCCAGATGCTCAGGGACATGCACGAGGGTAGGACAGACCCAGGGCTCTTCAATGAGCTGCGCGCCGCCACCGACCTTGCTCTCCGAGCGACGAAGGTGACCGCACGCTCCCTGGGTTTGGTGATGTCCACAGCCGTGGTCCAGGAGAGACATCTATGGCTCAATCTTGCCGATATGAAGGATGCCGAGCGGTCCCGGCTGCTCGACACCCCCATATCGCAAGATGGCCTTTTCGGCGGTGCAGTCGAGGACTTTGCCCAACAGTTCTCGACTGCGCAGAAACAGACTGAGGCTATCAAGCCACCCGGGCCCGGTCGCGGAGGAAGTCGCAAGAAGGCGCCCCAGCCCTCTCCAGCCCCGCCCCCCGCTAAACGCCGGGCCAAGCGGCGCTCCTGAGACGGGCTGCTCAGGGATGACGTGTTTTTCTCAGGAGGTGGTTGCAGGACCACTCCTTCCCCCGGTGGAGGGCCGGGGGAGAATCTTTTGTTCTCCACTCCCCGCTGCTCACCCACGGGTGGGCAGTACCCTAATGTGGTTAAAGAAAGAAATAACACGTTCATCCCTGAGCACACAGAGTTCTTGGACGACACGGTGCGCCGCCCCCGGGCCGTGCACCCCTCGTCCTCCTCTGTCCCAGAGTCGGATGACAGTGCGTGCCGTCCCCGGACCGCACCACTCTCATCCCCCTCTGTCGCCAGACCCCTGGCAGAGCAGACCCCCGTGGAACGTTCGTCCTTCCCTGGTCTCCTCTGTCAGGGCGCGGTTCATGACTGCACCCCCACATCGGGCCGCTATGCCGTCCACGTCTGGGTCAGTCATACCGCCTCGCTGCCCCACCGACGGGAAGTCTGTGGTTCGCATGACCCCGCTGGTTCAGTCCCTGGGAGCCTGGCTAGAGCTTCCCAACCTGTCCCGCTGGATCGCACGAACGATCAGGCTCGGCTACGCGATTCAGTTCGCGCGGTCTCCTCCCCGCTTCAGGGGAGTCCGCTCCACTTTGGTCGGTGGCAATGCCCCTATCATGAGAGCGGAGGTTGCTACCCTGCTGGCGAAGGGTGCGATCGAGACTGTCCCTCCAGCCGAAATGAAGACCGGCTTCTACAGCCCGTATTTCATTGTCCCGAAGAAAACCGGTGGGTTACGGCCAATCCTGGACCTGCGCGTTCTGAACCGCTCCCTTCACAGGCTGCCGTTCAAGATGCTCACCGCCAAACGCGTTTTCGAATGTGTGCGGCACCAGGATTGGTTTGCAGCGATCGACCTGAAGGACGCCTACTTTCATGTCTCCATTCTCCCTCGACACAGACCGTTCCTTCGGTTTGCTTTCGAGGGTCAGGCATATCAGTACGCAGTTCTCCCATTCGGGCTAGCCCTGTCCCCTCGCGTCTTTACGAAGGTCGTCGAGGCAGCCCTTGTTCCCCTCCGGGAACACGGGGTTCGCATTCTGAACTATCTCGACGACTGGCTGATTCTAGCTCACTCTCGAGATCAGCTTTGCGAACACAGGGATTTGGTACTCCGCCATGTAGCCCGTTTGGGCCTTCGGGTCAACTGGGAGAAGAGCAAACTTTGCCCCGCGCAGAGGATCTCTTTTCTCGGTATGGAGATCGACTCGGTCGCCATGTCCGCGCAGCTTACGAGCGAGCGCGCGCAGTCACTGCTGACTTGCCTGAGACAGTTCGAGGGCAAGAGTGCGGTTCCACTGAAACTTTTTCAGAGGCTCCTGGGGCATATGGCATCTGCAGCCGCGGCAACGCCGCTCGGATTGCTTCATATGAGACCGCTTCAGCTTTGGCTTCGCGACCGAGTCCCGAGGTGGGCATGGCAACACGGCACGCTCCGAGTACCAGTTACTCCGACCTGCCGTCAGACCTTCACCCCGTGGGGGAACCTCAGTTTTCTACGGGCAGGAGTGCCTCTGGAACGAGCTTCCCGGCATGTTGTTGTAACGACAGATGCCTCCACCACGGGCTGGGGTGCCATGTGCAATGGACGTGCTGCCGCGGGCTCCTGGACAGGACCCCACCGCTTATGGCACATCAATTGCCTCGAGTTGCTGGCTGTACAGCTCGCCCTGCGCCGCTTCAGAGCCGTGCTCTCGGGCCAGCATGTACTAGTCCGATCAGACAATACCGCGACCGTAGCGTACATCAACCGTCAAGGTGGTCTGCGCTCCCGCCGTATGTCGCAACTCGCCCGCCACCTCCTCTTATGGAGTCAGAAGCATCTGAGGTCGCTTCGAGCCATTTTCATCCCTGGAGCCCTGAACTGTGCAGCCGACGAGCTGTCACGGCTTCAGCCCCTCCCCGGAGATTGGCGACTCCATCCCCAGACGGTTCAGCTGATTTGGGACCAGTTCGGGGACGCACAGATAGATCTGTTTGCCTCTCACGACTCGACCCATTGCGCCCAGTATTATTCCCTGACCGAGGGCACGCTCGGCACGGATGCTCTGGCGCACAGCTGGCCGCGGGGCCGCAAATATGCGTTTCCCCCAGTGAGCCTTCTTGCGCAACTCCTGCGCAAGGTCAGGGAGGACGAGGAGCAGGTCACTCTGGTCGCGCCGTACTGGCCCACCCGGACCTGGTTCTCCGAACTTGTACTCCTCGCGACAGCACCTCCTTGGCCCATACCTCTGAGGAAGGACCTACTTTCTCAGGGACGGGGCACCCTATGGCACCCTCGTCCCGATCTTTGGAACCTCCACGTGTGGCTCCTGGACGGGACGAGGCAGGTTTGAGTACCCTGCCACCAGCGGTGGCGGCTACCATCACTTCCGCTAGAGCGTCGTCCACGAGACACCTCTATGCGTTGAAGTGGAACCTCTTCGTCAACTGGTGCTCTTCTCACCGAGAAGACCCCCGGAGATGTTCGATCAACGTCGTGCTTTCCTTCCTTCAAGAGGGGTTGGAGCGAAGGCTGTCTCCCTCCACCCTCAAGGTCTATGTCGCCGCTATTGCCGCACAGCATGATCTTATAGAAGGTAAGTCGGTGGGGAAGCATGACCTGATCGTCAGGTTCCTGAGAGGAGCGAGGAGACTGAATCCTCCTCGCCCTCCTCTCGTACCCTCTTGGGACCTCGCAGTGGTCCTAACTGCCCTGCGTAGTGCTCCCTTTGAGCCTTTGCAGTCAGTCGAGCTAAACTTCCTATCTATGAAGACAGCGCTTCTGACTGCGTTGGCCTCCGTTAAGAGGGTGGGGGACCTGCACGCATTCTCCGTTGACGAAGCGTGCCTAGAATTCGGGCCGGGCTATTCTCACGTGATCCTGAGACCCCGGCTTGGATATGTGCCCAAGGTTCCTACCACTCCCTTCCGGGACCAGGTGGTGAACCTACAAGCGCTGCCCCCGGAGGAGGCAGACCCAGCCTTGGCACTGCTCTGTCCAGTACGTGCTCTTCGCATCTATGTAGACAGAACGCAGTGTTTCAGGACCTCAGACCAGCTCTTTGTCTGTTATGGTGGGAAGCTGAAGGGAAAGGCTCTCTCCAAGCAAAGGTTGTCTCACTGGATAGTGGACGCCATTGCTTTGGCATACCAGCAGCAAGGTCGACCGTGCCCCCTTGGTGTGACTGCCCACTCCACCCGGAGTGTGGCATCCTCTTGGGCTCTAGCGCATGGCGCCTCGCTAACAGACATCTGCAGAGCTGCAGGCTGGGCGACACCTAACACATTCGCCAGATTCTACAATCTCCGAGTGGAGCCAGTGTCCTCTCATGTACTCGCTTCAACCAGCTAGTACCGGACCCGCTCAGGTGTCTTCGCTTGCTCGCCACTCCACTCCACGGACTGGATACGTGCGATATTCTCCTCAGGTGAGCTTCTCCGAAAGCCCTGAGTTCCTCCAGCACTCCTGACGTCGGCGCCAGTGTCTCTTGCCTGCGCGTCGGCTAGGTGCCTCCCGTGTGCATGGTACCTCCCGGAGCTACCCCCACATGTGTATTCCCACTGTAAGCCTCTCTGAGCATGTGTCTTTCCCTTGGCAAGCCACCTTGCCACCCCTGGGGTTGAAATATTCCACCTGCGGCTGGACACCCCAGTGATTCCCCATATGCATCCCTCGGGTCATATGTGTATTCTTAAGTCCCCCCCTCTGGGTTGGCAGTAATTGCATACTTCCCTAAGATCTGGGATATGCTCCCCAGTGTACCTTGGTATTCCTGTGTTAAATAGGAGTCCTTCGTCCGTGCTAGTCTCACGACAGGGATCTCAGATTTACGCAGGGCACTGGAAGACAGCTGAGAAATGGCGTGATTAGACTGGTATCCCCATTCGTCGTCATCCGACGGAACTCGGAGTGACAACGAAAGGGAACGTCTCGGTTACGGATGTAACCCTCGTTCCCTGAGTAGGGAACGGAGACGTTCCGTCTTCCTGCCACTTCCGCTGTACCGCGGGGATCGCCTGAACTCAGGTTGGCTCCTCAGCGAAGAAACATGCCGGTTTGCTGCCAGCGTTCTCCTTATATACTCACGAGGTGAGGCGGAGTTACGCTATGCAAATTCCGCAGACCCATGGCATTTCTTTGCCATTGGCTCGTTTTGAAGTATTTGAAGTTGATTGGCTTCTAAGCGAAACCCCCATTCGTCGTCATCCGACGGAACGTCTCCGTTCCCTACTCAGGGAACGAGGGTTACATCCGTAACCGAGACGTTTTTCTTATTAAACTATGTTATTCCCTTAACTAAGACGAGTTGATACATACCTCTCTCGTCTCAGTGCGTGCACTATATCCCTCTGTATTGCCGCAAAACTATGTTAGCACTTAGCTTAGCCCATGCATTAAATATGGGCCAAGCAGAGAAGCGACCAAACACTTCCACGTTTTCCCTATGTAAACACAGTTACTCGAGTAGTGTAACTTGACCTGGGCTGGTGACACAAAATAAACCGTTGCGCTTTTCTAAGCGTTTAAAATTGATGACTATATTGTATGGCGGAATACCATAACAAGTGCTTTTGAGCACTTCGACTTGGCGCAATAATATCTTCACTCGTGAAAAGATTACCGGCTCCCGCTTCCTCTCCCCCTCCCTCCAATAGCATCCATAGACAGTAAAAGAAATGGACAGAGCGATCTCATTGGAACTCAGTTGAGACAGTTGAAGCCCACTTTTAGCGATTTTTGAGAACTTCCGTTCCTGACGCGCAGACTCAGACCGACTCAAACTAAGCTTGATGACGTGAGCAACCTGTCTGACAGACGTGAATCTTCTAGTAGCTGTGCGTGAAAATTGCCAACGTTAATCTTGCAGAGACGGGGAACTTGAGCAAAGAGTCCTTTATCGTGAGTGAGCAGGATTAAGTATTCCGTTGCTTTTATGGACTCATTATCTATGGGCTTCTCTCTTGATGGGACGTCCCCCCGATTGCCTGCGAGCTTCTCCTGCTGTCTGTACGGTAATTTCTGTACAGCGCGACAGAGAGTCGAGTGGTTATGACGCAATCGTTAGCCTATTTTTACTAAAACTGTTTCTACGGGGCCATAATGTAACATAGAAGGTAATGGAGCCATTTATACATTGTCGTGTTTCTTTAGAAATAAATAATGGACAAATGGAGTCTTTAAACGCCTCAGATGTAAAGTTATTCGCTGTCAAAGTGACGCCAAAATGAATGGTAGTCAATGGAAATGCTAACGCAAGTGAAGTTCTGCTACAAGATGGCGGCACCCGGCCGGCTTCAACTTCCGGTCGATGGATTACCCCCTTTGATAGCATCCAGCTGCTGACATTTCCGTCAATACTACCAACGTGACTTTTACTACCTGTGCTATTAGCAAACTGCAGATCATTTGCAATGGCCGACTTTGTAGATGATTATGACTTCTTTTAGAAGACCCAGAGCCATATCTGTTTGAACCCGAGTACACGGAGGAGGAATTAGCTCTTGTGGACCGTGAGAGGCAAGAAAGATATGATCCAGAACAGACCGGAGCTGGCGAAAGACCACGGGCTTTCTGTAAGTGATCTGAATATTGTTGGTGTAGCCTCATCCTTTAGGCGTGTTCCTGTGCAGGTATAGTCCTTCTTTGTGAAATGTTCGGAGCAAACACGCCACTTCTTCAGAGTCATCAATGGTGTTTTGGGATTCTTGTTCAAAGCAGCTAACCAAGCTCTCCGCTGTATGTGGTGTGTTGGAATTCGGTGAAAAATGACAGCACTATGTACATTCTCCTTATTTTCACAACCCTTTACGATGCACGCTTTAACCATTATTGTACACAAACTAGCTTCCAACAACCTGTTACTTCGTCAACTCCGCTCGAACTACTACTACCGGCGCATGTCACGTTGTATTGACGGAAATGTCAGAGGGAGGGGGAGAGGAAGCGGGAGCCGGTAAGAGGACTTTTCACGAGTGAAGATATTATTGCGCCAAGTCGAAGTGCTCAAAAGCAATTGTTATGGTATTCCGCCATACAATATAGTCATCAATTTTAAACGCTTAGAAAAGCGCAACGGTTTATTTTGTGTCACCAGCCCAGGTCAAGTTACACTACTCGAGTAACTGTGTTTACATAGGGAAAACGTGGAAGTGTTTGGTCGCTTCTCTGCTTGGCCCATATTTAATGCATGGGCTAAGCTAAGTGCTAACATAGTTTTGCGGCAATACAGAGCGATATAGTGCACGCACTGAGACGAGAGAGGTATGTATCAACTCGTCTTAGTTAAGGGAATAACATAGTTTAATAATAAAAACTGGTGGAGTATCCCTTTAAAACTAACACTTTTTTAAATATTATAAATTACATTTAGATTATAACTCACCTCTAGCACTTGCTGGACATCCAGTGTTGTGATAAAGCCTTTACTCTCCTTATCAAATTTGTAAAAGCGCTTCTTATACCTGTTATTCATAATAATCACAATATTAGGAGAAAGGGAGATGTAGGCTTTTGTATACACTTAAACACACACACACACACACACACACACATACACACACCTTGCCACCTCTTGGGCATTAAGTGAGATCTCTGAAGTCTTGCTGAGCTGCTCAGAGCGAGCTTTATAACCCATCTCCAGGTGCAGAAACTTCTGTGCTGCCTCCAGTTCTTCCTATAGACACACAAAACACAGTGCATAACTTAACTTTCCAAAGGATCAAATGGATAAACAAATGGATAAAATTGATTTTTAATACATTATTTATTTCCCCTGATTATTTCAGTCTGACCGTAACAGTTTGAGCGACACATGTTGTCACGGGTGGCTGTACAAAGCGCACGAAGACAAAGAAGATCAGCAAAAACAATTCAATAAATCTAACTGGCAAGGAAAACTCAGGAAACAGAATTACACAACCATGTAAATACTGACAAGACAGGACAAAGAACTGAAAAAAAAAAAAAAAAACAGGGAGTATATGTATATATATATACACACAGACTGAGGGTACATTTACACAACGATATGCTTAAAACGGAGAAGTTTTTCCTTTGAGTTTTTCGCGTACAGACGACACCATTGTCAAAATGATCCCCATTCACACGGATTCGGGAAAACGACTAAAAACGCTGTATTCCGCTGCCAGGCCATTAGATGGCGATGAAACACTATAGACTGAACACGTAATACGCATGTGCACGACGTCATCGTCTTCAGAGATTCACATTTTTGTTGTTTACATGGGGACGTTTTCAAAAACTTGCATTTTGAAACCCAAGTTTTACGTTTTTAGTTGGAAATGGTGTTGTGTAAACAGCCCCTAAGTAAGGGAACTAATGAGATAATTAACGAACACCAGGTGAACGTAATGAAACTGACACAGACTAGGAAACCAAGGCTGAATCCAAAATCGCCCCCTATACCCTCAAATAGGGCGTTATTTGACGGGACAGCCATTTGTAGTGGTGTCCGAAACCATAGTGGACGTTATTGAGTGCACTTATTCAATCCCATGCACTTTGCACTGCAATAACGTGTGTGCAACCGATGTACGCTCAACGGCTGTCCGCTCACTCCTTTTCATTCACTCCTTCAAGTGAACAGTAGTGGACTAACGTAGGGAATAGTGAAGGAGGGTTTAGATAAAGATTTCGGATTCAGCCCTAGACAGAGGAAAACAGAACTAAAACTGAACAGAGCATATTCCTGACACACGTCAGCACAGATTATTATGTGAACATGTTACAGTATAATGCATGCTTTGCAAATAGACTGTAATAGAAGGACGGATAAGTTAAAAACTATATAGACCATTTAATAGTAGACGTCACAGTTATGTCACTGCAGTTGTGTGCACTTACATTGCACTATGGTGGAGGAAAAATAATGGCAACAAGTGGAGGAAAATGAGTGAGATCCACATAATAAGGAAACAAATCTGTCTTGTTGTGCCTGAATCAAAAAAAAAAAAAGATAGTCTTCCTTTTTATGGAATACCATTTTTCAAAGATGCACTTTGAAGCTAAATGAAGATGTTTATGGTTGCAAGCATTAAACCTGTGATGAGTAGTCTAATATTAAAGCATGAATTTGATGTAAACTATAGATCTACATTATATTCACCTACTGTGTGCAGTTCATAGCGGGCATAACGTATTAAGCCTAAAGTTACAGCATCAAATATTTTAACCTATAACATTTTACATAGATTACATAAACCTGTACTATTTTTATCTCGCAAATTTGACTTCTTTTCTCGCAAATGCGAGTTAATATCTTGCAATTCTGACTCAATCAATCAATCAATCAATCAATCAATCAATCAATCAATCAATCAATCAATCAATCAATCAATCAAACATAAAGGGTGGAATATGAAATTATTCATATAAAAGTAAATTGCAGTTTTTTTATTTGCTTTTTTTCTATTTTTAATTAAGATTGAGAATGTTTGAGGCAGTAAAAATGATTCAAAATCAAATCCAGCCAAAATTCACAGCACTAATTGTTTTATACAGCTGAAACGCTGCAACATGAACGTTCCTGCAATGCACAGGCTGAAAACAGAGCTGCGATATACCTGCGCTGAATCCAGGCTCCCAGCAGAGCATTGTGTCGGTGTCCGTTCATGTGCGTGATGGGTGTGGAGCACCTGCATTGTGAGCAGATCTGAGCGCTGAACTCATGGGAACTGAACAGCATGATCGGTGCTATTATTAGTGCTTCTGTTTATCAGACAGGAAACCCATGATCAACGTGCAACAGCTTGAGTAACTCTATCACCTTTTTACAAACGCACTACACACACACTCCTGTGAGCACAGACGTAATAGCCATAGTCATCTAGAGGTGTTGTGCTTGGGCGTTCATTGTACAATTGAATTGTGTTCTTTTCCTGCAGTGGAGACTCCTAGTTAGAAAGACTATTTAAGAGTCACACTAACAATAGCTGAGGTCTATTATTAACTGTTACCTAAATTAACCTGGCTGAGACCTTTAGCTTTCGGTCAGGAAAAAAAGTTGTGTTCAGGGCGAGGGTAGCAGGTTTGTACAATCAATTTAGGAGATAAATTCCATACATCACTAAGTTCATACATACATCATTGACAAAACAAAATTTCAGATGAATTTGAATTGTGATTAGAATTACAGTCTTAATGTGAATTTAATGTGGATTCTGCTTTCATTTTCATTAAAAAAAATCCACATAAAAAAGCATGGTGAGCCTGCATTCGAAAAGAAATATAACATGATGTAAATGACATACTTTCTTTTTCTGCTCGGTCCACTGCAGTTCTTTGCCCATGATCTCAACGATACGTGGCAGAGCCTCGTCTGCAGCCTGAACGTTCAGAAAGCCCAGTCGTGTTCGACGAGCAATCACATCGATGGCTGTACATGCATACTCCTTTATAGCATACTGCACCTAAACCCAGACAGAAAGAGTCACTTTCATTCTAATTTATCTGCCGTTTTTAAAATCAAATTGAAGACTTTTAATTAATACCCTTGTTCAATACACAACAAACACATGTAATCTCAAAATGAATCTTGAATCTTAGATTCTAAGCAAATACGGAGATGTTTTATTCAATATATATGTGTATAAATGTTTTGAAGTTGATTTATGGTCTAACATATAAATACATACAAATGAGAGATAGATCCATATTGGATTTTGCTCATACAATAATAATTAGTTTAAAGGGGTCATCGGATGCCCATTTTCCACAAGTTGGTATAATTCTTTAGGGTCTTCATGTAAAGTTTGTAATATACTTTGGTTAAAATTCCTCAATGGTTGTGTAAAACAACACCCTTTTTACCTCCTCAAAAACAGCTCTGTTCACAGTGACCCGTTTCGGTGCATGTCTCTTTAAATGATAATGAGCAACTGCTCACCCCACCCCTCTCTTCCGTGGGGCATGTTGACACAAGGCACGCTATGGCAACCTGTGGAATGCACTCGCAGTCGCAATATATTGGCAATCATATTGGTATAGGCCAATAGTAGCATTTTAAAATTACTGGCTGAAAAGGGAAGCTGATAATAATAATATCTGAGTTAATAATGTTCCAATATGCTAATACGGGACAGTCAGTCAGTGGTCGTGGGCGGAGCATGAGCAATATGACATCATAATGCTCAGAAAATCCAAACGGCTTGATTATTGAGAGTGAATAGATTTTTTTCATTGTATGGTGGTTGTGTCCACACACTGCAAAGACACATTTATATGCAAACACCATATAAAAGTGAATTTTGCATCCGATGACCCCTTTAAAAAAAGACAATAAACAGATTATTGTGCCGATACTAGTAAAATGTATATATTGAAAGTGAAAAATAATGGTTGTTATTAGTCTTTTCTTTGGCCCACAGAGAAGCCACAGTAGTTTACATTGAACTAAATGCCAGATACATGCCAGTTCATTGTGTAACGAAAATTTCGATAATAGTCCAGAAAAAAAAGAAGAGTTTTATGCATAATGCAGTGCTTTTAATTATAAACAAGCCCGAAATACATTGGGACTCTTATTTTGAAATATCAGTATGTTACTACTCCCAGCTGCTCATTCAAAAAGATGAGGGAGATTAAATATGCACTCTTACAACCATCTACAACTTATTAATATATAAAGTATATATAAAGTAAACCTTAAAAGTAAACATTGTCATTATTCATCAAGAGTAGATCGATCTTAAGCGATTCCTTGGACTAAATGCAAACTGCTCTGAAACCACAAGCCAGTAGAACGTGGATATTTCATTAAAACATTGCCTTTAATGATCACATTAGACTGTATAGCGATTCCTGTTTTTTCCTCCAAATTTTTTATGTTCTTTTAAAATGGTAATTTTCTTAAAACATTCAAGATATTTAAAGCTGCAGTCCGCAGTTTTTCCTCTTTGTCGCCATCTCTGTTCGAAATCTGCAATTGCAGTCATTCGCGGAATTATCAACTTTATGTGGGTTGTGCCTCGGCATGGCACAGCGCGGATTAATCCAATGTTTTGAGGAGAATGTGCAGCTGTCAGTCGCCTCGCCGGGGTGGATACTGGCATTCAGAATCACAGATTCTACTTTTTGGAAGTATGACCAACATAAGAATTTTCACCCTAAATTGTCATCTGAACAAGTAAGTAACCTCCACTTTTGATCTTCTGACCAACTAAGGGGAAAAAAAGCATTGAGGTAAATCGCATTACCGGTAAATCTAACGATCGCTTATCATATCACGTCAAACCGTGCAAAATTATACTTTGTTCTCAAACTGTTAATGTTAACAACATCAGCATTGCGGGACTACATTTAAAGCCCTTCAGATATTTATTTTCTTATTATTTTTCTTAATTTTTTTATTTATTTATTTTGCATGGCCTGGTTGCAATCTCTTTTTCCAAACTCTCAGTCCAAAGTCTTTTGCATTTTACAACGGGTGAATCTCCAGTTGTCACTGGCGATTGTCGTTTGAACCTTTCTGGATCCGCCATCAAATTAATAAGTTTAATTATATCAAGTGCTGTGAGAAAAGGTTATAAATCTCCACCTCCAACATCCTCACACGCAACATAGCCTACTAGCCGAGACTTCTTCTTTATGTGTACAGATGTGACGTAATGATGCAAAGACATGCTCGAATCTCCCGCGGAAATCCACCAGTACCACTGGAATTAAAAACATTATGACAAGCTTACCGTTTTGAATAGAGCTACGGCAAGCAGATATTTTTGAACACTGGCTGGTTATGTACTTGCTCGAAAATGTATTTTGGATAATTTTTAACCCAAAAAAGTTACGGACTGCAGCTTAAAGACGTTTTATGACCTTAAAAATTTAAGGACTCGTGGGATTTAACTTTAGCATTTTTTTTTTTTTTTTTTTTTAAAGACAATCAGACTTCTATGTATTTTTATGTTGACTACATAATCAGCAAGATTTTTAAATGTGGATTTTTTTGGATTAACATAAAATTGCATTTAAATCTGAACGCTCGGATCCTCTTTAAATAAAAAAGCTTGTCTGAGAAAATGCCCAATGTCAATAGTTGCTTATGTAGAATTGTTCAGCAAATGGTGAACCAGAAGTAAATCTTTAAGTTAATTAGAGTTTCCGAGTGCTTACCTCACTCTCAATGTAGGGAAATTCAGAAACAAGGCGTTTCCCCAGAATGGGCCATCTCTTGCCTGTCACGTGGGCCATCTTAGCTACTTCAAACGCTCTTCCTCCGTAGGTGGCTGCCAAGTGCTGGGCAACCTGTGAGTTTAGAAAATACAAATGTTATTCCTTAGGGCTTTATTAACTGTAACCACTAGTAATAACTGGTGGTGGGAAATTTCACGAGTTACCTTACAGGAAACCCACTGTAACCATGGCTAGTCTAAGATTTTAAACATGTTAAGACCAAGCTGTAGAGATGTTTTCTTCATAGTTCTTCAACTAGCTTATGAACACCTATGCTTCGTTAAGCATTCTGACAAATAAACACGACCCCGTTTACATCGATTCGAACTCTTCTTTTATATCTCTCACCAAAGGTCAAGTGCTGTCAAAAATATCTGCATGCTGACCTTTTTAAATATGCTGGCAAAACAACATCCATGGTAGCGCTACGGCTCCATCAAGCTCTCGCGCTTCCAAACAAGGGTTTGCCAGACTTTCTCTTCCCCACAGGATCATGGGGGACTGAAGCGTTATAGAGCAGTTGAACCTGCTCCAAAGAGCTCTGACTGGCAGAATGCTAAGCAGTTAGGCTTCAAAACCCACCTCGTTTTCCAAGCCGTAGTCTTGAACCAAGCGAATGTACAGGGTGGGGGTCCAGTCCTTCCCACCCTCCAGCATCAGACCGACCGTCCTGCTGGGCCCGGCTGAGAGGTTATGAGCCTTTATGGCCGCATCAAGTGTCTCCTCAGCCATGGAACGATAGGTTGTCCACTTCCCACCTACAGTAGACAGAGTGTTATTACGAAATCTTTATACGACCTCAGTGGAACACTTGTCAATAACCTAATTGCCCGATTCCTCATTACAAAACAAGAGTTTGTGTATTTTTAAAATCTAAATTTAAAATATTCTGTATATAATTTAAGTGAGTACATTTTCTGTATATTATTTAAAGAGCATTAAAGCATTAAAAAGAGTGTTTAATGATCAGAACGTACACTACCGTTCAAACGTTTAGGGTCAGTAGGATTATTCAAAACTGACAGCAAAGACTTTTATATTGTTACAAAAAATCTACTACACATAAAGTGTTCTTTTGAAGTTTGCTATTCATCCTGAAAAAAAGTACCTTGGTTTTCATAAAAAATATTATTAAGCAACTCTTTTCAACATTGATAATAATAAGACATGTTTGAGCACCAAAATCAGCATATTAGAATGATTTCTGAAGGATCATGTGACACTAAAGACTGGAGTAATGATGCTGAACATTCAGCTTTGCCATCACAGGAATAAATTACATGTAAAAATAATAGTCAAATTGAAAATAGTTATTTTAAATTGTAATAATATTTAACAATATTACTCTTAAAAAAAAACAGCCTTGGTTAACATAAGAGACTTCTTTTAAAAACATTATTTTAGGAGCTATTCATGCATCAATAATTTCAAACTTTTTCACACTGTACAAATCCAATTAAACCATTCTAAGGAAGAACATTTTTCTAAGAAAATGGAGATCAAGGCACAAATGATTGGCACTGACCAGCAATGGTGACGAGTCCACTGTCGCTGATGTTGACGATGTGGTTACGACAGATGGACTGTGTGTCTTTGGAGTTGGGGTCGGTGACCAGCGGACGAATGCCACTCCAGGCCGCCAGGACATCCCCTCGACGCACTGAGAACCAAAGAAACCAGAAACGCTGACAATCTCTGACAGCTGAAGTGTGTGTGCCGTGTATCTGATTGACAGGACTACAATAGGCTACGCTATTGTGTGTCATACATGAAAATGACAGTGATGTCTGCAATAAAAGCTATTTTGTCTGATAAATGACCACAGGGGAACATGGAAAGCGAGATTGTCCGTAAAAACTTGAATTGCTTTGTGACTTTGTTAAACCAACAAACCATTACTAGAACATCATGTATGAGTCCGGAGTCAATTTCCCTATTGTGGTGACATCTCAAGCATTAATTATTAAGAGGGAGTTGTGTATCGATCCGCGGTACACCTGCCACTGTAATATGCAGGTTGATATTTCTGAATGGGGGGAAAAACATAGACAGCACTCTCATTATCAAAGGGCATCTCTGAAACATTTATGACAAGGCTAGGGAGCTCAGCAGACAGCAGACTTGGGAGACCAATAACACACACACACACACACATCTTGAGTCTAAATGAACCTCAGCAATAGACCGCTGGGCTGTCGAATGCATTCAAGTAATCTAATTCTCAAGGGGAGAATTCAGTCCATTTCCAAGCTGTGGAATGCACTCGGAGAGTTCTCGAAGAGTCACGATCGCCAAACCTATTAGGGATACGCAATATATCGGCAATCATATTGGTATAGGCCAATATTAGCATTTTAAAATTACTGGCTGAAAAGGGAAGCTGATAATAATAATATCTGAGTTAATAATATTCCAACAGCAATTTGTCTGTAAACACTAAAGGGTTAGTTCACCCAAAAATCCTGTCATTACTCGCTCACCCTCATGTCGTTCCAAACCTGTAAGACTTTCGTTCATCTTCGAAACACAATTACATTTTTTGATGAAATCTGAGAGCTTTCTGTCCCTCGAACATGCTTGAGCTTCCGTTTACCTCAACTGATGTGTGAGTTGATGAATGTTTATTTGTGAATAAAAGCCTAAATTCAATCTATTAATCATATAAAGAGATCGTGTCTCTTCAGAAAATCTGGAGTAAACCGCTTGATTGATTTGGATTAGTTTTACGATCTTTTTATGAACTTTTTGAAGCGTTGTGGTAGTTGCGTAGCTGTCAATGGAGGGACAGAAAGTTTGCAGATCGTATGGGTTTAGAACAACACGAGGGTGAGTAATTAATGACGGAATTCTCATTTTTGGGCAAACTAACTCTTTAAACACAAAATGAAATCTAGAGTTCACTCTGTTTGTACATTTGTTCAAGAATAATCTTGTGTTTTATTTTTCTAGGGTGCTTGTTCCTCACCACACGTTTACTGGTTGCATGATAGATTTTCTGTAAAGCTACTTTGAATGACATTTATTTTGTAAAACTTCCATGCAAATAAATTAGAAAATAAATTTGGATCATCATATTTGGAGTGTTTGATGCATATTTGGTTAGTTTCGATTCAGGTTTTCACTTGTAAAATTCTAGATTGGAGCTTATGGGTGAAAAAAATGGAAAAACTTTATAGATTTATATCTGTCATCTAAAACACAAAACAATTATTGGCAATCAGCTAGAAATTCTATATGGATGCCTTCCTATACGTTTACCCTCCTTTCCATTTACCCTAATTTAATCAATCAACTGTTTAAAGACATTTTTAAATGAGAATGTATATTAGATTTTTTAAACTTATGTCTGTTCATCTCTGCAATCATCCCTCTCTCTCTCTCTCTCTCTCTCAGACAATATCTCTACTTGAGGGACAAACAACATCTTGCCGCAACACTGTCAGTGTGACAAATCTCCCACAGTCAAAACCCTTTAGCTGCCTTCAGTAGAGCAGTTCAGTCCAGCCTCAACCCTCCATCCAGAGGCAAGGTCTCTGTGTCACTCCTCCATCGCTCAATCCATCCTCATTCTCCATGATCTGCTTTATTCACACTTTCAAACAACCCTCCCAGGTCAACAGAGTCGCCCAGTCTCTCATTCTTGCCCGGAACAAAGCAGAAGACACCCATCCACACGGCAGCCATCGCATTGTGCTTTTTGAGTACCGTATACAATCTGTTAAAAACAGACAGCCAGATGACTTTCTACAGTAGCTGAAAAACAGCAGCGCTGAATGAGATAACGAGGCTCAACAAACTCCCAACAATCAGAGAAAAGAGGAAGCATTTTTTGCGAAGGGAAAATTAGTTATGAAGCTAATCAATCAAGCAATCAAGCCCGCATCCACGGCGCTTTGAACAATTAGAGGGCTGCGCTCAAAAATCAATACCTCTGCTTTCAGAGGGAGACGCTTGGAGTAGTTATCAGTCCCAACTAGTTCCTCGACTCAACACAACCAATGCAAGCCTACCTGTCTATTCATTTACATGCATGCAGAAATGAAAGTCTCCGCGAGGCTTCTACAAAATTCCTCAGATTTTTGAGTCAAGTGGATTTTTTCATGCAACTAAGAAAATTGTTATTTGCATCTTTCTTTATTAAGTTGCACTATTGAGAAAACGATTGTCTAAAACACTGCGACAGAAATATTTTATTCATATACTACCGTTCAAAAGTTTGAGGTCAGTGCCATATTTTTTTAAGTAGTCAGCAAGGACACATTCAATTGATCAAAAGTGACAGTAAAGACTTTTACGTTGTTACAAAAAACGATTAAAAATAAATGCTGTTCTTAAGAACTTTCTATTCATCAAAGAATCAGTTTTTCACATAAACATAAGGCAGCACAATAATTTTCATTTTCAATTTCAATAATAATAATAAGAAATGTTTCATGAGCACAAGATCAGCATATTAGAATGATTTCTGAAGGATCATGTGACACTGAAGACTAATGGATGATGAAAATTCAGCTTTGGCATCACGGGAATAAATTACATTTTAAAAATATATTAAAATAGAAAAGTTATTTTAAAATAATATTCCACGATATAACTGCTTTTAACTGTGTTTTTTTGATGCAGTCTTCCAAAAACATTTTAAACTTTTGAATGATAGTGCATGTAAAAATTTGGTCTGTTCAATTGAGTCACACCTTCTGCAGACTGTTGGGTTAGAAACAAATAATAATTATCTAATCATCCTCATGTTGCTCAATCCTCAAAGCTCTTTTTCATACAAAAATATGACAGCATTTCCTGTTGCCCTTCCATAGTATTTTTTCCCATTATATGGAAGTCAATGGGGTCCTACAACTGTTTGGTTACCCATATTCTTCAAAATATCTTCTTATGTGTTCAGCAGAACACATAATTTTCTTTTTTGGGTGAATTATGCCACCTCTAAAAAAACTGTGAAAAGTCACAACAGAGTCTGAGAAAACAGACCTTTTACAAGAATAGTTTTAAATGATCTCATCATTCGGCATTTCTTTTCCCCAAAAGTACTAAAATAATGACTACTATTGCATTTTTAAGGCACCCCAGGTAAATAAGTTAATTAAATATGCACTCATTTGCATACATTTCCAGTAAAAACATCTGAGCATTGGATTAGGGCCGTTTCTAAAATCTTGTGTCATTTTGCTGACATATTAGAGTCAACGGTTTTACAGGGGAGATTTTGGATATCTATTTTATCACTAAATCTGCAAATGCTCTTAAAAATAAATGTTAAATTAATGTTTAATGATATATGAACAAATTTCAAAACTTCAGAATATAGATAGGAATAAAACTGTAAAGTTTGGTGTATGTAAGTGGATGAGCCTCGTTTTGAGAAAAAGGCCTGTAAAGATATGTATTGAAATCTACAGACACAAATAGACAAAGTGCAATAAAATAAACATTTAAAAGTGCATTTTGGATGTTAGTCTGAAACAACATTATGAAAAGCCAAATAGCCCGAAATCCCAAAACTGACCAGTGCATGAAAAACAAGTGTTTTGCCTGTAGTGTCTTCCATTAAAAAGATTGTGAGTTTTCCTTTTGCTCTAGGTATAGCATTGTCAGCATGTCACGTTTTAAGACCATTCTAAAGAAAAGGCATAGGCAGGGTTATATTACCTTCTACATCAGGGCTGAGGTAATTGCGGACTTCGTTCAGGATGAAGTTGATGTCCTCCTCCATAGGGATGGGATGGGCTGTGACTTCAGTGGGCGTGTCTGTCGTGCCGGCGATAGTCATCTTCTCCCAGGGAAGGAAGAATATGACACGGCCATCACTGGTGGCAGGGTCTAGCAGACCCATGTTGTCTGGACTGTAATAGGGAGGAGGATACAGATGTACGTCATCTCTCTCTCTGCACTGTCAACGCCATTAAAAATACACTGGAGGAAAAAAGAGGTAGAGTAAGTTTGAAGGATTCAGAGATGTACCTGTAGTATCCAGGGATGACAATGTGCACTCCCGCACTAGGCTGGCAGATGTTGGGAGTTTTCTGGTTGTCCATTTTGCGCAGTGAGTCAGTGAAGGGGCCGGTAGCGTTGATGACACATTTGGCACGAACGTCGAACTCCTGCCCTGTAAATGGCAGAGTGAGGTGTTACTCTGAACTGTACAAAGCTGACCTGACCCCAGGGGTCATTTGCTAACAATGGAAGACGAGTCTCTTGATAAAAGGATTGTGAGCAAAAATTTTTAAAGAGTCACTGAAAGGTGATGAGTTAGTGCTGGTTTGTGGGAAAATTCATCTTTTTTTTAAAAAAAAAGCAAAGATTATGTAGACTTTACATTAAGATCTCTGTCAATATTTTGATTCTTTAAATTGGTCCTGTGTTAAGGTGCGGTCACATTTACCATTGTTTGGCAAATTGTTATGGCAACATCCAGTCATTTCAATAGGAATCCACTCAATCTGAAATTTCGGGTGAAATACTTGCCCACGCAGATATCACAAAGGGTTCAAGTTGGTCACGTGTATTCGTCGCGTCGACCAATAGAAAGCTGCTTGGTTTGAGTGTGACTTCAGAAGTGACTTCTGAGCTTCATAAATCGTGACATCATTGACAATAGACTATACCATTTTTGTCAATGAAAATTCTGCACAATTTCGCTTCGTGACCACAACTTTTTCTCTGAATGCAAGTTTCCTTGCACTAAAATAGATAATTTCGCTTTCGTTCCGGGCGAATCTCACCTGTGATCGTGTCTCGGCAGCGGGCTCCACAAACTTTCTCTTGGCCTGTTTGTGGATCTGGTTTCTTTAGCAGATGAACCACCTCTGTGTAGTTAGCAATTGCAGCACCATGACGGGCCGCTGAAAGAGCGATGGCCAGGTTCATTCGGGCGTCGTTGTGCTGTCCTGAAAAGAGCAGGAGCAAAATGTCACTAAATACAGTACTTATACTTAATTCAAATAACGCTAAGTAATAATACTATTCCTAAAGCTAAAAGGAAACTTAAAGAAAAAAACTCTAAAAAAAAAAAAAACTCTAAAAATGTGTTTGTCAGATTTAGCTAACTTCTTAACTTTAGCAAATTTTTGTAAAATTGCCCCAAACCTATAGCCTCACACACACTCACACACACACACACACTTCTATTATTTTTATATACAGCTAGTTAAAAATACTATAACCTAACCTAACCTTAACCCTAAAAGACCTTAAAAATCTTACAATTTTAAGTTTATGTAGGCCTACTTTATTTACTGTTTTTACAAATTAGCACGCCTCCAAAAGGAGGTTTTGTCAGATTTAGCTCATTTCTGGGTACAAATTTGTCCCCAAAATATGGTTAAGTAGGTACACAATGATTTACTGTACATGCCGAGGCCACTTAGTTAAAGGGATCGTTCACCAAAAAGTGAAAACTCTCTCATCATTTACTCAACCTATAAGTTCCAAACCTGTATGAATTTCATTCTTCTGCTGAACACAAAAAATATATTTTGAAGAATGTTTGTAACCAAGTTGATTGGCCCCATTGACTTCCATAGTATTTTTTTTCCATGCTATGTATGAAAGTCAATGGGGCCAATCAACTGTTTGGTTACAAACATTCTTACAAAATTTCTTCTTTAGTGTTCAGCAGAAGAAGAAAAAATCATACAGGTTTGGAACTACTTGAATTTTCATTTTTGGGTGAACTACCCCTTTAAGACTTTGCTTCATGACTGCAATGTTTGAAGTGGTGTGACGGTGTTCAATATTGTTATAGGGTCATTCAAGGCATTTAAACAATTTCAGACACATTTGAAACATGAATTACAGGAAACTTTGAAGCCAACGCGATATCACTCTATTGCGGCAACTAAAGAGCTACTAGAATTAGAAAACGCCTCTGTGTTCTCGACGCAAAAGAACCAGAGGGATAGGTAACCCACGTAAGCATGTCTAATGCTAACACATGCTCGGGGCAACTCCACCAGACAATAAAATAATAACACAGGCAGGAAGCCTGTTTAAAGGGCACACTTCTCAAAGAATAATGTGCAGTGAAGGAACCAGCATGCTTTGTTAGAGATCCCATGAACCTGCGCTCTGGGTTTGCGCTCACGGCTGTGCGCTCAAATCATGATGCAGGAAAAACATCCATGTTGAGTAGGATAATGCGCACATATGCATGTTGGAATATTGTTAATATCACGTAAGAGGGCGAACCGCAGCTCATATGGAAAGCTCTGTCCCGCAGCAGTAGATAGGAAACGCTTGGCTGAGCTTGAATGTTTATTAGAGTACAGCTCGCAGGTACGGGCGAAAAGAGCAGGGCTTTTGTGCTGCGAGCGAAATTATAATGAAATAAAGAAAACGTGACATTACAAATGACTGAAAACGCAGATAAGGGAGTTTTAGCATCAGATTAGATTAATAAAAAAGACCTACGGAAAGAAGAATGAATGACATATCATAGCGGAGGAAGGATGTGACAGGCGGCCGTGCACGCGGATGAGATAGTGGAAGAAAGAAAAGGGAGAGAGGACTCAAGGAGGATGAGGGACAGGAGCAGAAGAAGCGATGCGAGTAGGGGAAAAAGAGAGGGAGGAAGAGAAATAGAGGGAGGCAAATAGCGACAGGCAGGCTGCGATCTCCAGCGGAGAAGGTCAGATTCGGAAATGTCACGGCCGTGATTGTTCCAGATTGAATAATTGGAGAGAAAAGCCGGCTGACAACCCAGGGGAAGGAGGGATGGTGGGGAGGGAGAGGAGGAACGGACGTGGGGAGAAGAACGAATAAAACCTCTAAACTGCCATTACAATCGCTGGTGTTCGATCCTCCACACACACGCATACGCAAATGAAGGGTCTTTTTAACGGCACGTAAACACGCGGCGGCAGGGAACAGAGCATCCAGACGTCTCTTCGCCTCTGTTTCTCACACAGATGGACGCGATGTGACAGATCGCTGCTCAGATAGCCGCCGCCGCCGCACTCCCCCAGAATATCAGCTGCCCGCGCACCCTGCGAGGGACCGTGTGTATCAGTGTGGGCCAAATGTAGTTTGACAGGAAGCACCGGAAGGCAGGGGTGGGGGGCGGGGCTTGTGCTGCTCCGGACGGGACCTTGAGTAAAGGGGACACATTCTGCACACCCAGACTAACCAGGAACATATGGAAGTTTTGCCTGGTGGCAGCCTCGGGCGCAGACGGGCCAACAGAGACACGGGCACAATGAGCCAGTGGCACTTTTCCAGAGATTATGCAGGAATGTCACAGCGACAAACGAGCTTGCACTTATTGCCGACAAATGCAACGACAAATGACAACAGTTTTGATGTTTAAATGATAACAAATCATGAATTGATCAATATGATCACAACTTTTAATAACTGCTTTAACAAGCTCATTGTTTCTGCCTAAATGAATACATGTTAGCTAATTGCATGATTTGTATTATCTCAGTACGTTTCTTCTATATAGACATTACTTTGACACAGTCAAATTGTAATGTAGAAACATGCATTTCCTGTAAAGCTGCTTTGTGAAAAGGCTATGCAATTAAGCACAAATTGAATTTTACTGAATTGGCTATCACATGCTTAGCAAAAGCAATATTCAGAAATGTTTTTATTGTTTTAAAGCGCAAAAAAGTTTTTCCTCTCCTATTTCTCGCTGTCATAGGCTAGACCCTATTTAGCAGGGCCGTCTGCCCTCTATTCGTGAAATCACTAAATAAAATGCAATCAATAAGCCACTGTTACTGATATGCAACTACTGGCAAACAAATGCGAATAATATATATATATATATATCAGGGTGTGAATCTATGGGTCGACAGCAATTCAATTCGAAACACAGCTCAATCCGATTTGATTATTCTTTAAAGGTCACATATGTAAATAATTAAAAGAGAAAAGCAATATCAACTAGAAGATTGAAATGTTTATGAAAGCAATGATACCAGTAAAACAGCACTGTTTATCTAACAGCAAGGTTTCCATGCAGGTGAAAGGTCCCCCCCCCTATTTGTACTTTCTATTCATCAAAGAATGTTGAAAATATCAGTTTCCACAAAAATATTAAGCAGAACAACTATTTTCAACACTGATGATGATAATAATAATGATAAATGTTTCTTAAGCACCAAATCAGCATATTAGAATGATTACTGAAGGATCATGTGACACTAAAGACTAAAGAAATGCAGAAAAAATTACATCTTATAATAGATTCAAATAGAAATAATTATTTTAAATTGTAATAACATTTCACAATATTACGGTACTGTTTTTCTATATTTTGATCAAATAAATGCAGCCTTGGTGAGCATGAGACTTTCAAAAAGATTTTTTAAAAATCTTACCGACCCAAACTTTGTATAGAATTAAAATAATTATATTTTTTTTATTCATTTAAATTTAATTAATTATTAAATTAAAATTAATTATAATTATAATTTAAATATATATAATAATTCCAGAAATCAATTGATTTTTAGCATTTTAAATTGATTTTTGGCTAATCGAGATTAGAAAGAAAAAGTAATTGTGAATAGTTACACCTCAGCTCTGAATATCATACATTTAGATCACACTCAAGACTGAAATCTTAGATTCGTTCCTGCTCACCATCATAATAGACAATGGCTCCCACGAGTTTGTCTTTCTTCAGCATAGGGAAGAGCTCCAGTGCTTTGCTCTTGCTCAGGACATAGCTGCTCTTCAGACAGTGTGATCCGGCAACCACGTCGTACATTTTAATGCCGGCCCAGTAATACGGCAGCTGCCACCACCTGGTTAGAACATGTCCAGTTACAATAACACACTATTACTCTCCGTTTCGGTTGACAAACATGGCTGAGAAAAATGAATTCAGCAAATGCACTGACTGCATTTAAATATACAAACAAGGATTTTGTGAGTACTTCGCTGAAAGAAAGAAAAAGTAAACCAAGCTAAGCTGGTTTGCTAGTCAAAATGGTTCACCAGGCGGTCTGTTTGCTGGTCTTAGAGGGGTAACCAGTTAAGGCTGGTTTAAGCTTCTTCTTTTTTTTATTACTAATTAAAATAGATATGGTTGAACATGGGCAGAATTGGATTTGTCCAAGTACCGTTAAGTCATATATAGCACCTTGTGACATTTGTTTTATGTTAAAAAAAAATCGGACAGGCAAATGATGTAATCTTGAGGTTTCTCATTTCTGTGACCCTTTCACAATTTTCTGGCTGCTTTAAATATCAGAGCAAGACATAAATGCCACGAGTAATTAGTAATGATGATGGTAAGGACAGGAAGATCCTTTAAAAACCCAGAATGACAAGGGGCCGAGACTGAGGAGGCCGAGAGGTTCAGCATTGATCCACAGAATATCCGAACACCAACTGCTACGGGTGACCATATGAAAGGTTCGATGACATTTCTGTGAACTTATCAATGGATTTAAATACAAAAACTGTATTTTATGCAGCTAGGATGTCTCCAGTTTTTTCTCTTAAACTTTCTGCCATCTAAGCCCTATATTGTGTGTCCCTTCGTTTTTTCTCTGTCAATGAAGAGTGTTTTTATTGTCTGGTTGACTGGTTTTCTTACTTGTAAACAGGAAGCATTATGGGTAAAGGTGCAGACAGGTGAGGGGCGATGTCCAGCAGATTGGCACGTTCATGAAGAGCCTCTTTTACCATCATGTACTGAGAAGGCAGAAATAAAACTGTTAATCAAAATTTCTGGGCCCAGAGAATTCATGTACGCATATTTTCAGGGTATACTTGAGGTGTAAATGTATGTAATTTATTGTTGTAGAACAAAACATCAACATTTCCTCAATTAATGTTAACCACGGATGTTAATTTAGTCATAAATTGAAGAAACCCTACTCTAAAAACCCATAGGAAATGTTCAAGTCGTTGAATTATCTTAATTTTGAGGCTTCTGACAACAAATATATGAGATATATGCAATTAATATAAATATGATCTTATATTTCGCTGTCATTTTACTTCCTATTAAATACTTAATCATATTTCAAATCAGTGTTATTTTAGAATCATTGAGTTACTATTATGGTTTTCATTAACATTTTAAATTAGATTTCTAGGTTTTATTTTAGTTTTAGTTAAAGTTTAGGTCATTTTGTTGTATATTTTTTTATTTTTTTAACATTTTTTATTAGTTAAATATGTCTGTATAGTTTTTATTCATTTTTATACCAGTTTTAGTTATTTTAGTACATCCATTTAAACTAAATGCAACTAGCTGAAATAAAATAAGTTTACATTTTTGTATATTTTATTTACATTTTATATATTATATTTGTTTATGCTTTTGGTTTTAGCTTTACCTAACTATAACAACCCTGCTTTAAGTATGCAGTTTTTAAATTTGCAATTATAATTTACACATATTGAAATAGTTGGTGGTCAAGCTAAGTTTTAGTTATTCATTCTCCGGACTGATGCCTCAGATCTGCAGCTTCCTTCTAAATGTTTGTGCTTCTCTCGGTCTGTCTGATAGTTGCTCAAAATGTCACAGTGGTGGCGTAAGAAGCCTTGCAATCCTTCTTCTAAATATTAGGGGCAAATAGGGAAAAATGGGGCCTTCACCTGCTCATAATCTAGTTTCATGATGGCTTTCTGCAGATAGCGGACTCCTCCGTGAATGAGCTTGGTGCTTCTGCTGCTGGTGCCCGATGAAAAATCGCTCCGTTCTACCATGGCGGTCTTCAGATCTGGACGAGGGGGCAGAAAGACAGGTAAGGAACAGATTAGACAATGCACTGGCATTTTAAGACCTTATGGTGCCAAATATTTAGACTGCAGCTGCTGTCATTTACATTTGGCTTTCTCCACTCTGTGAAATCACAACATGCTTATTACACCCAGGCACATTCTGTCTGGCCTCTAAAGCTGAATACAACATCTTAGGAGAATAAAGCATCTTTGAAAAATCCAATATAAATCATCACCTTTTAAAAACAACAACAATAAACTAAATGAACACTAAAAATGTGTATGGATCCATTTATTAATGGACTGAAACTGACCTGCACAATAAGCACACTAATGCACAGTTAATATAAGTACAGTAATATTGCAAAACTTTGTCAAAAAAAAGTACATACTTCGTGTGACAGCATCTAAGGCACATCCTGAGCCCGTGGCTCCGCCGCCCACCACCAAGATGTCAAACTCCTCTGTGTTTCGTAGCGATGAAAGCTGTTCCTCTCTTGTTGGGAGAGCATCTTTAAACGGCACCTTTAGCTCACCCTGCGCCTCAACGTATGCTAGCCGGGCCTGAACACATCCAGCAGGTACAAAACGAAAAAAGAACATTAGCTTAAATCCATTACAATAGGCTTTAGGCTCTTTAAAGATACAATCCAGAATTGATATTCTATAAGCTTTACTGTGCAACTGCATGTAAAATGTCAGTCTTTCACAATTGTAGATTGGAACCTTTCATTAATCCATTTTTTTCTAGACTGATCTTTAAAATAATAATAATAATTAGATGTAAATTAAACAAGTTTAATTCGATTCATTAAACAAGACAATTACACAGACGTCTATACTAGTGAAACACTGAACATGCACTTTTCATTATAATCACATCCAGACAACATAAAATATATTTGATGAAACATTATGTTAGTCGCCATGCCAAGACAAAAGAATTAAGTGGGATGCATTATTGGTAATCTCAAATTAGTGTTGAGATCTAGTTCAGTTAACATCTAGGTTTCAGTTCTAGTTTTACTTTTTAAGAAAGTTAAAAACATTCAAATTAGCATTCATGACATAGTCACTCATTATGGCAAATTTGCAATGTGACCTTTCATATCATAACAGACAACATTATTTGATATTTTATCCTTATGCTTGATATCAGTTTAGGTATTTAAACTCCCAAAATACAACAGCTTTTTTTGATAAATCTCCTTATCAATAAAAGAAAATGGTCACACTTTAGTTTGGGGAACACATATTCACTACTACAACTTTGCCTCAATAAACTCTTAATTTACAGCTTATTAATAGTTCAGGAAATTCTTGTAATAGTTAAGTTTAGGTATGGGGTACGATTAAAGGCTGTTTATTAGTACTTAAAGCACACATTAATGCCTTATTCTGCATGATCATATTCTACATCTATAAAGGGATAATTCACCCAAAAATGTTAATTCTGTCATCATTTACTCACCCTCAAGTTGTTCCAAACCAGTATGAATTTCTTTCCTCTGCTGAACACAAAAGAAGATATTTTGAAGAATGTCAGTAACCAGACAGTTGATGTGACCCATTGGCTTCCATAGTATTTTTCCCCCATACTGTGAAATTCAATGGGGCCCAACAACTGTTTGGTTACCCATATTCTTCACATTATGTTCTTTTGTGTTCAGCAGAAGAAAAAATAATAATACAGGTTTGGAATAACTAGAGGGTAAGTAAATAATGACAGAATTTTAGTTTTTTTAGTGAACTATCCCTTTAGGGGATATGAATATGTAGAATATGATCATGCAGAATAAAGCATTAATGTGTGCTTTAAGTACTAATAAACAGCCAATACGCTAGTAATATGAATGCTAATAAGCAACTAGTTAATAGTGGGAATTGGTCCCCAAACTAAAAGTGTTTTAGTAAAGTCAAACAGGGAAACTGACTGTATGAAATTGTGAATGAACAGCTGCTAATCTATCAGTCACATGAACGCCAAAAAAAAGTCTCAGACGTAAAATACAAATACAGAAAAAACAAGCCCGGGTAAAGCTAGGTGTCGAGTGTTTTAGCCATGATGAAACGTTTTATTCATTTTTTTCTTTAGCATTTGGCCTAAATGATTACATCAATCTGCCCCCAAAAGCCCGTAGGGTCCATTTGACTTGCAAATGACCAAATGAGCGCAGACATTTGCAATTTAGACAGTAATAGCATGTAAAAACAAGATTCAGTAATTAGTGTCTATTTCCAAGGACTGACATATTTAAAACATCCGCACACTATTAAGAGAGGCTGTCCTGCAATCAGGACAAGTGCATGGCGGAAACAGAGAATTTCATGCAAATACGCAATCGGCCACCGCAGAGTGATACTTCAGCAAGAGTGTAACAGTGCCCTTGCCATAGAGCAGACAAACACACACACACACACACACACACACTCAACAAATTAACATCACAATCCCAAAGATTAGCATCTGCCACATGCATGATTGCAAGCAATTTTTGAAAGAAGATTCGTTCTTTCTCTTTTGACTTTTGCTTACCCATTTAGGCTGCATTGAGATGACACGAGGGACAAATAAACATAAATAAATGGAGAAACATCAGAACAAAAGTTTGTGTCAGTGAAACGCTTAACATGGGATGCAAATGAGACGTGAAGAAGGTGATCTGATTGACTGCTAATAAAGTCGTTCATGTTGGTGACATCTGAGAAATCATATCAGTAAATTTGACAGTTAAGAAAAATATCTAAACTCAAGATCTTCAATAACTGTTTTTTTATTATTATTTTTTTACCAAATTAATCTTGTAGTAACAATCTCCATGGCAACCACGTCCTTGAAAGTGCATAATTCTCTCGCTCCCTGGAGTTTCATTGGGATTGGAACAGTTGAGATGCAAGATAATGGACAAAATGGGTTTGGGAAGATTTAAATAAATGATGAGAGAGAAAATCAGGACTCCCATTGCTCTTCAAGAGTCTGTCTTTTTTTTTCTTCATTTGTTTCAGAAAGCCTTGTTGATTATCTTAATCTACTTGACCTTCCGTTATTTGGTATAGCGTCTAAACAGACGACACCCCTGGGGTTCTTACTAGTTTAAATACAGACAGAACATGGTGTGTGACACACTCCCTGATGGCGTGAATGGGGATCAGATTGTTCATGATTACATATTCAAGAGAGATCCTTTAAACAATGTGTGTATCACTGTTCAAGTGTAATCTCCCTTTAGCAAACAAAACCTGATTTTAATACGGTAGGGTTTGGAGTTTGGAGACCTAAGGCAATACCTAAAGGTACAAATGAGATTTGTAAATGTATCTGGATGTGCTAGGTTTAATCTTAATAAGATTTGTCACACACATTCATGAAATCTGCTCCATGAGGTTGTTGACCGCATGAAAACATAAATAAGCCTTCATGAATTATAATTAGGGAATGGTTACAAATTGATATAAATTGGTACAAAATACAAGGCCTGAGTTGTACTGTCCTATGTGAGATGACTAAGCTGTATCTTTAAGGTTGTGTAAACACACAGAGAGAGCATTCCTGTGTCAGGACAAGACATGCTGCGGTACAGATGGGTGTGAACAGCTGTGCTCTGTGTATTCTGCACTATAACCTGTAGGAGTCACTGTATGGATGTGAAATGTGAAAACAAAATTCTTGGTATTTGTCAAAAGAATTGGCCAATTTAACTTTACATTCAGACTGAATAAGACAGACTCGAAGCGACAACATTGGTGCCATTTACTGTAAATATATACCTGATTCTTCCTGTATTCAAAGAACTGTGATAGGCTGAAGGCTGTTGCTAAGGCTCCGCCCCCTATTAGGGTTCCTTTCACTGCCTTCCTGAAAGCCATTGATCCCTGAAACAGATTTAGAAGATTGATGAATAAATGCTTTTTGAAACATCCAGAAAACATAATATCTTTTTATTCGTCCAATATTGGGTCTACAGTATCTATCTGCCTCCTTTCTGGTTTCTTGTAATGAAACTTAATTAACTTAAAAGAGCAATTATATAATAGAAAATATAAGAGAGAGTGCAAATAAACATAAACCTGCAATTCTGGTAATGAGGGGGCATATACATTATATAAGTCAGTCATATTGAGAAACTAAAAAGACAAGAAAAACAAGCACTGACTTCCCGGTCACATTCACTGACCTTGACATGATGTAAAACAAAACCTGTAACAGTTGCTCAGAACCTCCCTGGTGTTTGTGTCAAACTCACAACTGTCAACTGTCCAAGTTCAGTTTGTGTAAACGACTACTGTATGAAGAACTGACAGGTTCTGCTGAAGGTCAAAGTAAACCTATAATATCTCGACCTGATGCTCCGGGTAGGGATGCAAGTCATATCACTACATGATACTAGAGGAAGTGAATGAGTCATTTTTTACTACACTGTTTGAATTCACGCCTGTCCCGCATGGCCTGTTTATGGCCAACCATGAGCAAGGGAGAGAGAGAGGAGCCACAATGTCTGAGAGGGATCTCACAAGTTATTATATCACCAGTTCGTGTACGAGAACCAAATATGAGAGTAGGCTTGACTGTGAACATTTAGACTGATTCTGGCCACATTCAAAATTAAGTTCAATGTTTAAAACCCTTCATTAAATAATTTTCATTTTATTAGAAACAATAGAACAGAACAACAGAACACATATTTTATTTTAAAGTCAGCAGTGATGAATACAGACTCATGTAATCTATGCAGTCCATCACATGAACCTATACTGACATCGAGTCAAATCATCACCGATCGAATTCATTGCAAATTCATAGTACGATAATCGATAACATAAAGCAAAGCCTACAGCTATTAATTTTACTTGTGGAAAAGCATTGTGTACTGCAAATTAATTGACACACTAAGAATCGAGCAACAGTGGGTGGCTCGCACGCATCCAAGAATAGACTAACGATCGACGTCAAATAATACAGTAAAAAGTATGGCGAGACCCCTGGTTTTTACTTACTGATTTTGGCGACGGTGATGATGATGATTTCTAAAAAGGAAAATCATGGACAGTGAAGGTATCAACTGTGATGTTACAATGTTTCTGATTCAGGAATCCAGGAAGTACAATGACAGGAAGTATTTGACAGACAGGTGGATGGACAAATCAGTTTAGAGGATTCAAAGCTCTCGTCCAATCAAATTTAGGAAGGCGTTTACAGGCATCTAATTGTAGACGCACTTGGAATAGAAAGGCGTTTGACCATCTTTAAAGAAAGAGGGACGGTGCCCAAACACACCCAAGACACCGTTTAACTCCCAGTATTCTACTGTTTATCTCCCAGTTAAACAGTAGAATTTAACAACACAATAATTTACATTGTATTGCACGTGTATTGTTATAACATTATGTGTAGCCTACAGCTATTACTTTCTGTATTATGTAATGTATAATTAATAGCTAAACTGAGGCACTGTATTTAGGACTGCGTGCATTTTGGAATGTTTTCGAATTATTTTTTTCAGAGGGTTCTTCACAAGGCTTTTTTTTTTATCGTGTCAGTTGCACAGGTGAGACTTTCAGCCTAAAAAAGTTCAGCGCGACCGCATCAGGCGTCACGGAGTTGGAAGCTGCTGACGTAGCGATGACGCAGCTCGCTTCAGTCCAAACAAAGTTGCCTCTGTTACAGCGGGATTCCCTTCTCACAATGGAAACCCTTCACCGCTCAGACAGAGCAACGGAATCAGATGAAACACATCCTAAGCTATTGAAACTTTCCCTAAGCATGATACAGGTAGAAACAGATATGGCGTCACTATTTTGAACTATTTATAGTCCTGCATCCGTAGATTCAAAGAGATAATCAGATTTAATGGGTTATAATGCGAAATATTGTATTTATGTTATATATTTTTATCGTTTTGTTTATGAGCAAATAAGACTCATTTATAGATTTTCCTCGCATCAACTATATATTGGATTAAATTCATTAACTTTTCAGTCATTTTATTTTTTTTATTGAATTTTTAATTTGTTGTTTTCTTTAAAAAAAAAAAGGTGTGCTGAAAAGAAGAACATTTCATTTGCCAGCAATAATCGCTGCATGCCTTCATGAATTCGATAAAACGGAAGATAGAGTCTTTATGTTTATGCTGACTGGCGCTTCCCCTAAATAGTGGGCTATACTATTATTATTCTACAACAAAAAAACACCTCATTGATTTTCAATCAGTGAGATATGATATCTTGTAGGTGGTTTCTATATTTGGAAATGATTTTGCGCAAGAAATAATGTGTTGGAAATTCATCTCATTTGACCCAGTAGACAGTCCCGCATATGCAAACGCGCAGAGGATTGAATTGCGCGCAGTGCGCAATGAGCGAGCTGAAGAACAGTCCCTCTGTCCACTGATCAGCGCGCGTCAAGGGTTGACGCGCCTGACGTCACTCCCTCTTAGCACGTGGGCTGTGGCATTCAGAGTTCTCATAAACAAAGGCACATTGCGCTCGGGCTCCAGTCTTCACGAGCAGTCGAAGGAGTAAGGTGCGCAAAGGCATCGGCTCTACATGCAAACGGAACTTCTATCAACAGGAACAGCTACATGGATACATCATTTGCAACTCTTCTAGTGACTTGAGGTATGTAACAGAGAATAGATCCACCAATAAAACTGTTTAAAATGCTTTTCAGAATTTGTGGCAAGATTTTAAAGCAATACATCTACTATAAATACATGACCGTTTCTTAACTTTAGCTATTCATTTTTTAGTTTTTACCCCTTAAAACAATCATTTTAATATTGCCAGCAGAGTTAAGGTAGATTTTCATCTAGTTTTAAAGTTGATGTGCCTTGATCTCACAAAAATATAAAGTTACTCGCACTGTCATGCTTAAAGCGTTAGATATATAGATCTTAATACTTGGAAGAAGAAAAAAAAATCATGATAAAATATTTCTTTCACAGAAAAGCAAAAGAACGGAAAGACACGCTCTGACACCAACCTGCGATTGTTCCACGAGAGATATAAGTAGCAGGTGTGCGGAGGTAAACTGAAGCAGGCCAGGGAAATGCATGCATGTCATAAAGTTTGCATACTTTCCGATGGAAATTGTGTTTCAATGTCTACCTCTTACGCACAACGCATAAAGTTAACAGTGGGAATGAATACAATTTTTCTATTTTAATATTATTTTAGTTTAGTATTAAACTATAAAACATGTGAACAAATGTCATGCACCCTGCCAGAGAAAGCCATTACAATTGAGTTCTCTAACACTGCAGCCATGCCCTGCGTCCAGGCTCAGTATGGGACATCACCTCCAGGAGCCAGCCCTGCATCTCAGAGTTACAGCTACAACGCCACGGGAGAGTACAACTGCGACTTCTTAACACCGGAGTTTGTCAAGTTTAGCATGGACCTGACTAACGCAGAGATAGCTGTCACTTCCTCGCTCCCCAGTTTCAGCACCTTTGTGGACACCTACAGTTCCAGCTACGACGTGAAGCCTCCCTGCCTCTACCAAATGTCCCACTCTGGGGATCAGCTGTCCATCAAGGTGGAGGAGATACCCGCACACAGCTACCATCAGCAGCAGCATCACCATCATCATCATCATCATCAACCGCACCAGGCTGAGGAGAGCATACCACATACCGGACCTATTTACTATAAACCATCCTCCCCAAACATCTCCCAATCGCCCAGTTTCCCCGCGCCTCCACACCACACGTGGGAAGACAGCGGGTCCCTTCACAGCTTTCATCAGAACTACCTTGCGACTTCACACATGATAGACCAGCAGAGGAAAAACGCGATGTCTCGGTTGTTCTCGTTCAAGCAGTCTCCTGCTGACACGCCGATGTCAAGCTGCCAGATGCGCTTCGATGGGTCTCTGCATGTGTCCATGGGCCCGGACACCCAGGGTGCGCATCGCGCGCTGGACAGTTTTGCTTTAGCGGGACCTCCGAGGAAACAGCACGCTGTGGGTTTACCCCATTCGCTTAACGTCGGACATCCCTTACTGGAAAGCCCGGTGGCCTCACCCCAGGCAAGAGGATCTCCGTCCAGCGAGGGTTTGTGCGCTGTGTGCGGGGACAACGCCGCCTGCCAGCACTACGGGGTGCGCACATGCGAGGGGTGCAAAGGATTCTTCAAGGTACAAGTTTATCACTAATTACTACAAGTCTTTGAACCAATTAGAGACATACTTGCGCAAGGGTAAATTATTGTATAGTTCATGGATACATTTGTAGGGTCTGAACCTATAGCCTTATAGTTGCCAGCCCAACTAGAGATTTGAACGAGGAGAGGCATTGTTTAAAACTGGGTCTACAGTATTTATCTCAGTTGTATTAATTTGACCCAATATGCACCTAGGGACACCTCCGTTCATCTCCGCCACCATTACTTTCGTCTAGAATTAAATTGGTTTGCGCTGAGAGTCGAATCGCGCCTAACCGAGCGTAACGGAACTCCCAGCGGTGACATTAAGACAGCTCTTTATGTCACCACCGTGATAGAATAATCTCGCTAATCCGACAAGAGGGGTCGCGGAGAGAGCGTCGGGGGACCCCAAATTATGGCTGCCCACGGATCTGTATTTACCGAATGTCTGCTTTGTCCGGCCCTTGAATGTATTACGCAGCTTTGGGTTGGAGTGCATGGTTTGAGTGTCCTATTCTATTGTAACTCCACACTGTGATTGCAGTTCAAGTTGTTGCCATGCGAATTGAGTAGATTTACATGCAATTAATACGCCGAATACATGTGCTGTTCCTTTCTAGCGCACTGTGCAGAAAAACGCCAAATACGTCTGTCTGGCAAACAAAAACTGTCCTGTGGATAAAAGGCGGCGAAATCGATGCCAGTATTGCCGTTTTCAAAAGTGCCTGGTCGTAGGGATGGTAAAGGAAGGTAATGTCAAGCACTTTTTCTGTCGTACATCTCATTTTGTAGGTGAAACGCATGATTACATTAAAGTTGAGCCTGTTATTATCACAGAGATGTTTCATATTGTGGTGCAGTGTTTATAACCAATATTTTTTTTACAGTTGTGAGAACAGCCAGTTTAAAAGGTCGAAGAGGTCGCCTCCCCTCCAAACCTAAAAGCCCGCAGGACATCCCTGTCTCTATGACACCCGTCAATCTCCTGAACGCCCTAGTGAGAGCGCATATAGACTCCAACCCCTCTATGGCCCGGCTGGACTACTCTAAAGTGAGCACAATAAGCTTTAACGCATGCAATTATTTAAAATTCAACTAACAATATCAGAACTGATAATAATACAATGGTAAAATGTGAGCGAGTTTAATTTGCACCGCATTATAAGAGTTGCCTTTGCTAATAAACTGTTTTTAAATGATTTTTTTTTTTTACATTTATTGTATTAAATCCTAGTTTCAGACGAGTCCAGAGTATCACAGTGGAGGAGATGAATCTCTGCACATCCAGCAGTTCTACGATCTCCTCACTGCTTCAATGAGCATCATTCGCGGATGGGCCGAAAAAATCCCCGGGTTTACTGACCTTCCCAAATGCGACCAGGAACTGCTTTTCGAGTCAGCCTTCCTTGAACTTTTTGTGCTGCGGCTGGCTTACAGGTAAGCACTGTAGGCCTACATGATTTTTAACATAACTCGCTGTTTGTTTATGAATACTTTTCGAAAGACAAATAATCTCTTTGACATTTTTTTCCCAGATCTAACCTGGCAGAGGACAAACTTGTTTTTTGCAATGGAGTGGTTTTACACAAGTTGCAGTGTGTGCGAGGCTTTGGGGAGTGGATCGACTCTATTGTTGAGTTTTCTTCTAACCTTCAGAGCATGAGCATAGATGTCTCTGCCTTCTCCTGCATAGCCGCTCTCACCATAGTAACAGGTAAGACATGCCTGACCTTTTCCAAGTGATCCACAGAATATACAGCATGCTTCAGACCTCTGACGGGTTGTTGTTTTTTTATCCTCGTAGAGAGACATGGACTAAAAGAGCCCAAGAAAACAGAAGACCTTCAAAACAAGCTAATAAACTGTCTGAAGGATCAGGTGTCCTGCAGTGGTGAATTGTCGAAACTGCTGGAGAAGCTGCCGGAGGTGCGCGCGCTGTGCACGCAGGGACTGCAGCGCATCTTTTACTTGAAACTGGAGGATTTGGTTCCCACGCCTGCGATCATTGACA